CCATTAAGTTCTAACTTTTAAATTTGGATTTGTCTATTTTGTGCCCTGAGGGCACAAGATAAAAAGTAATAATTGAGTAATAATTATGATACTTTTTTTCGAAAAAAAAGAAGTGAAATTTTAAATTAAAAATTAATTTCTATTTTATAATTTGAAATAAACCAATAAAAAGCTAACACATGGTATATATAATTAAAACAAAAGTCAATTTCATCACTTTTAAAATAAAAAATATTAATTATTAATCAATAATTATTTCTTATCCTATACCCTAAGGGTACAAGATAAATAAAACCTTTAAACTTTTAAACCTAAACTCTAAATATTAAATTCTAAAATAAAAAAATACAAACCCTAAATACCAAAACAATGAAATTTAAACATTAAACCCTAAACTCCAATAATATAAATCTTAAAATTTAAATACTAAACGTTAAATTCTAAATAAATTAAACACGAAATGTTGAATATTAAACCCTAAATTAAATTTTAAATAAAGTTTGAGATTTAAAAAAAAATTAAAAAAATTGAAGGATCAAAATAAGTATAGATTTAATACATGAAATGGAAAAATGTGAATGAATGGAGATTCCACATCCGTTCAGTGTCTCCCATCGGCTTGGGGACCTCTGGGGACCTCTGGGTCTTTGAACTATTGTACAGATCCTTGATTTGGTCGTTGAACTAAAGAAATCTCTAATTTGGGCCTTGAACTTACGGACCCTGAGTTGGTCCCTAAACTATTGTACGGACCTCCGAGTTAGTCCCTAAACTATTATATGGATCCCCAATTTGGTTCCTACTGTTTACCAATTTAGCCCCAACTTGGTCCTTCTGTTAAATAATAACTCATGGATCAAATTGGAGCGAAATTGTAAACAGTAAGGATCAAATTGGGGGGTCAACAATAATTCAAGGACCAACTTAGGCCAAATTATAAACAGTGGGGACCAAATCAGGGGTCCGTACAATAGTTTAGGGACCAAATCAGGAATTTTTTTAGTTCAAGAACCAAATCAGGGGTTCATACAATAATTCAGGAACCAAAATGGAGATTTAACCAAAAAATTAAAATATTTTATTTTTAAAGTAGGAATTAAATTATTTTTTATCATAGTGTTTTATGAAATAATGTAATTTTAAAATAATTTTTTTCTTAATTTTTAAAAGGTAAAGGAGAT